AGGACGAGAGCACTCACGGCACCAGAGCACCCACTTGGACCTTTTCCGTACTCACCCACTTATAAATAAATCCACCCTCCGGGGCATTTATTGATCCATCCTTGTCGTGTGATTCTTCACCCCGTGACAATAAATATTGTTAAACGTAACATATTTTCTATATAGTTTCATTCATATATATTTTTGACTCATAAGTCATTAACTGCAATTTAAAATTATTCTCAAACATTTTAGCATCTGAAGAAACTGTGGACACTTCAAGAAATGTTCAAGTTCATGACACGAAGCCACATAGATGAATGGAGAACAGTCTTCAAACAACTCCAAATTAAATTGTGTCTAAAATAGAGAAAGACTTTTACTAGCTTCCCATATTTCAGATGTAATAAAACTAGGCAACAAGACAACTATTACAAACAGAATATAATTAGCCTAATTATAATTAGGAAAATATAATTAGCTAACTAACTAAATATAATTCATATTTTTTTTTGCCAATTTCCATCAATTGCATCCCTGCCATTATTTCATATTGTCATGGGTATTCTGTGTTTTTGAGTTCCATTGAGTTTAGGGTGTTGAAGTTGTTCATGTACTGTATTAGTTTGCATTCTCTCTCTTCCTGTGCTTTCTTGCTGTTAATCTGTTCCCTTGGTTACTCATGATTTTTACCTGCTCGTTATTTAGGTCCTCCTTTAGTCTGTGTATTTATAGCCCTTAGTTTTAGCCCTATTTGTCGTTCTCATTGTGTATGGTGTGTCATAATGCTCCTTTATCACTTAGTATGTTGGTTTTGTTAAATAAAGTACAGTTTGCACTTAGACCCATGGCTACAGCCATTGTAACATGATAATTTTTTGGTCTCGCTGATGTCTTATAGCCACTTTAAAATCTAAATTTATGTTTTAAAAAAATTACTATCAAACTTATTGTTAAACTTAACATTATTTTTTTATTAGAGAAATTTGTTTTGTGTGAATTGTCCACATTTTTAAAGGTGCAACAGGTGATTGTCTTCAGAAACATTTTTTTTTTGCTATGCTGGTTGAAAGTCTCATCACATCCCAATAGCAATCGATAACCTTTTCGCACACGAGTTTAAAATATACACTGCAAAAAATGGCTTATCTTACTTAGTATTTACTTTTATCTAGTAAAAGTATCTTGATTTAAGAACTTTAAGATATTTTGACTAGAAACAAAACAAAACTACTAAGTAAGATAAGCCATTTTTTGCAGTGTACTATCTGAGCCCCCAGCGTGAGTTTTTTTAGCCGAATTTTAGAATGTATGGCTTTACTGTTTCCATGGAGACATGGACGTCATGCTTGTCACGTGACACACCGCAGCCACTATAGAGTGGTGGAACTATGATGTCATTTTGTAGGCAAAAACCCGGAAGCAAGCATTTTACTACTTCCGGTTACTATTCCATCTGTTCCATCGTCCCATTATCCCAGAGTCAATGGTTTTTTTGAATGGGAGTTTGGTTAAATCCCCTAAAATAAGGTCCGTGGTTCACACAAGCTCAAGATACTTTCACGTTTCATTCTACGACATAAAACACACCAGTTACACTACACTCGTGATTTTTTAAAACTGTTACGTTTCTTAAAAAAGACGGTTGCTAACAAGTTGCTAAATGGGACTACAGACGCTGTCGGAGACATTAAACGTCATCACACCGAACAGTTTATCAATTTACAGTATATTCCAATTGTAGTATAATTTATAGTACAATTAATTGTAGAATAACCAATTAATAGTTTACCGCATTTTCGGTGTGATCGTATGCTCCAGGGAGTGAAGCCTAGAGTGATCACACCGGTGTGATCGTGCGCGTTAAAGGGTTAAGTTAAGTGGTCTAAATGTATTAACCTATATGTATTTATATATTCTGTGGAAGGCGTAAGACCAAAAAATGTTCGTCCAATCAAAACGCTCAGTCCGATTTTAATTGGCTAAAGTTAGCATTTTCTGAGATCTCCTACTGCACCTTTAAATAATTCTCAAAACATTTTTAGCATTTGAAGAAACTGTGGACACATCAAGAAATGTTCATCATGAAGTCACATGGATGAATGGAGAAAAGTCTTTGAACAACACTTCTTAAAGGAATAGTTTACCCCAAAATTGCTCACCTTCAGGCCATCCATGATGTAGATAAGTTTTATTTTTTTATCACAACAGATTTGGAGAAATTTAGGATTACATTATTTTCCCACCAATGGATCTTCTGCAGTGAATGGGTGCCGTCAGAATGAGAGTCTAAACAGCTGATAAAATAAAACAATAATCCACAAGACTCCAATCCATCAATTAACATCTTGTGAAGTGAAAATATGTGCGTTATAAATAAATGAATCACAATGTTTTTTATTTTATTCTGGCTAAAATATGAGTCGTCGTATATCCATAATATTGTTTTCTTCATGGTACTTCCATGGAAGTCATCTTTTCTGAATCAGGAGAGAAATATGCACAAACAAAGCACAGTTTACAAGCAGAAACAGTTTAAAGCAGTTGTGAACAAATCAAATACTGTATGTGGGTGGATTTTGATGTCAGAGGACAATAGGAACAGGTAACAAACAGAGACCAAACAGGACTTTTAGGATAAAACACCTTAATGACTGATTTGTTTCTTACAAACATGCAGCTTTTCAATTCACCAAAAGTTACATTTTGAACTGGATTTGGATTATTCCTTGTGGATTATTATGTTTTTATCAGCTGTCTGGACTCTCATTTTGATGGGACCCATTCACTGCAGAGGATCCATTGGTGAGCAACTCATCTTGGATGAACTGAGGGTGAGTACATTTTCATCAAATGTTTATTTTTGGGTGAAAAGACTTTAAATATTTTTCACATACTGAAAAAAGACACCACTAGTGGTTTGATCAGTGCTACTGGTTACCTGCTTTTGGCTTTTAAAAGATAAACTTTTTTCCTGCTGTCATGAATGCCATTGTATTTGCTGTTTTGACCTAGTCTGGGTGCCAACAGATACAGACAGAAAGATAAAGCAGTCAGATAGATAGACAACACAAGTCAACACTGTATGGTTATACGCACTTTTGGATCACACTGTATGTTATTTACCTTCTTTAGGTTGTTCTCATTTAAACTGTCTGTTGCTGAGTAAATTGGGACAGAAACAGGGATATGTACTTAAAGCCTCAATGTATATCTTTGGTGCAAAGTGGCCCAAAAAGGAAAAAAATATTTTGAGTTATATAGTAATACAAATGAAAAAAACATTTCAGCTACACTGATTACACAGAAAGGAAGAGTAAAACTAAAACTGAAGTATTCATGTCATGGTGTTAAGATATGCACAAACTTGATTGTCCAGATCTTTGAACACATAGTTTTCTGATCACAGAGATATATACACTGCATGCTCAACAATATGGACAAAAATCTGCTCCTTTTTGTGCTTTTACTACCAACAGCTGCTTCAAAGGGTAAGTCCTCTGATGACTGCAGAATGAAAATGTGTTATTGTCTATAATTTTATTACAAGTCAATGTGCTGAGTAGTTATTTAGCAGTCCACTAACCACACACTTTCTCTTTTTCAGACTTAAACTCTGCGTCTTGTTCATATAGATATGTTATATGAGATGTTACAAACAGCCTTTTACTTGTTGTACTTGCAATGTGTATGGATATTTGTATTCTCAGTTACATTGTTAGTATGGAGGCCGTTTTGAATTATTGCTACAATCAATAAATGAAATGAAGTTTATGTAATGAAACCTTGATGATTTCACACAGTTAACTTAGTTAATTGTAGTTCCAGGCAGACATTCCCACTACCTTTCTCTATGTATTTTATTGAATCTCTTATTACTGTGCACTTCACATATTGTTGAATTTTATCAATGGTTTTGGTTGTTGTTTCTCACAGGTTCTCACTCTTTATGGTTGCTTGCAACTTACATTAAAGGGCAGTCACCTTTTCCTAAATTTGGTATCACATATATGTTGGATGACATTATAATTGGATATTACGATTCAGAGAGAAAGCTCCATTTTGTGAGAGGAAATACAACAGAAGATGATGACGCATTTGACGAAAATTATCACATGGATACAAGTAATGATATGTACAAGTCTATAAACTATAGAATTAAGTTACAACGTGATAATCATACAAACAGTAAGTACAGCGTTACAATGAATGTTATGAGGGATATGTTGTAACAATTTCAGTGTCTACATAGAATGTACACATAGAGTTATGAATATTGGTTCAATAAAGAATTGATTAACTTTACAACAAGTGGGTGGGGACAGAAATTTATAATACATGGTATTGATATGGACCCGACAATAACGTATTCAGATTCAAAATGTATAAAGGTTGTATTTAAGAATTATATATTAAAAAAAAAATTTATACCGTGAACTACAACAACGAAAAACTTTTAGGACAAGATTTCATGAGATATCATGAAAATATGATAAGTACACTCTTAAAAATAAAGGTGCTTCAAAAGGTTCTTCAAGCGATGCCATAGAAAAACCATTTTTGGTTCCACAAAGAACCATTCAGTCAAAGGTTCTTTAAAGAACCATCTCTTTCTTACCTTTTTGTAATCTGAAGAACCTTCTTTCGCCACAAAGAACCTTTTGTGAAACAGAAAGGTTCTTCAGATGTTAAAGGTTCTTTATGGAACCATTTAGACAAAAAGGTTCTTCTATGGCATCGTAAAGCACCTTTATTAGCTGGCCTGGAGCCTGAATGAACATTCACTTTCTTCCTCACTCACAGGTCTTGATGTTCATCAGATACTGATTCACTGTGAAATGTTGGACAACATGGAGTCAGGGCATATTACAGCTAAGGGTGCTACAGGAGGATCCACCGTAGTTGAGCTGCATTTTCTTAACAGGAAGACAACTTTCAGTTCTTCTTTCCATACAAAGACTGTCCAGCCATTTCTAAGATTACTCCAATATCACTATGAAAACTTTAACTATTCACTTTGCATGGAAACTTTGAAGGGTTACCTTAAAAAGAGAGGAAATCAAAGGAAATCAGGAAAGGTTAGTCACATGCACAATTTTACCCGATTTTTCTTAAAAATTAACAAAATATAAAACCAAAGGTTAAGATAGTAGACCTGTTCTGATGGTGTTGTGGACAGCAGGCATAAACAATGGGGAAAAAAAACAATTTAATTGGGACTAACAGTCAAAAATACAAAATAATTAGGAAAGTGAATGTTTAGGGTTTTCTTTGCAGAATCATGGGTAGAGTAGTTCTTCACCAGGATTTGCACTGTTATTACTTTTACTTCTGGAACATGGTCGTGTTACACACTTTATGGGCATGTCACTTCTCCAAACCAGTTATGCATTCTAAAGATTTCTTTGGTTGTGTGTACACAAGAGCAAAAGAAATACTAGCTCCTACTGTACACATTAAACTTTTGGTAGCACATGCTCTTTATGGTATGGACCACTTTCCACAGATTGTGATGACTTGTTTCCACAAAAGTAAACATTGTAAACTGTTTTTCTATTATTGTCAAAAATGTGAATTTATAACCGTTTAGATTTTTACTAAGAAAAATTAAGTTCACGCTTTAAATATTATGTTGATTTAAACCTATCTTTATTTTTTATATTTATATGATAAATTTGTACATAAAAAATAATCATGTTTTCAGGTGTGCATTTATCTCTTTTTTAACTTTCTTCTGCAGTGAAACCCAGAGTCAGACTTATCCAGAAAGCAAACTCTGATTCTGGAGGGTTTCGTGTGAGTTGTTTGGCAACAGGATTTTACCCTCGTCACATCAACCTGACCCTGTTCAGAGACGAGCAGCCTGTATCTGATCATGAGATCACTGGAGGAGATCTGCTGCCCAATGCTGACGGGACGTACCAGATGAGGAAGAGTCTGGAGATCAGTGCTGCAGACAAACACAGATACACCTGCTCTGCCACACACCTCAGTCTGGACAACAAACTGGACGTAACTTTAGGTAATTAGTTCACATGAGACTAGTGCACATAAAATAATTTATCTGAAAAATTAATGTATTTGTGACGTTTTGTTGTCAGAGTATCCAGGGGAAACATTTGAGTCAGTGACTTACTCTGTGCTTGTGGTTTGTATATTGGGGTTGGCGTTATTGACAGTGGCTGCTATCAAATGGATCATGAGGAGAAGATGGCAATCAGGTAACACAAGACATGAAACAGTACAATGAGATGTTAAAGGACAGATTCATTCAAAGATACCATATAAGGATAATTTTGTAAATAATATTGCGTTGAATTGATTTTTTCAAATAATTAATGTCCATTTCTTATTTTCTGTGTTTTATTGTAGTTTCCTCTACAAGTGATTACTCATCTGCTTCTAGTGAGTAATTTCAATGTAGTTTATGTGTTAGTATTTTCTAAATATTTTATTTTCATGTTGTGACCCTGGTTGTACTTTAATTTCAACATAGCAAACAACTGTAATTTTGATTAAAATAAATATTTCCTGACTATTCCAACTTCCATTTCAGCAACATCAGATTCATAAGGTTTATGGGCAAAATAATGTGATTGGCTTGATAAAAATAAAACATCCTGTGTGTGTGTGTGTGTGTGTACACTCTTAAAAATAAAGGTGCTTCACGATGCCATAGAATAACCTTTTTGTCCAATTGGTTCCAACCTTTAACATTTGAAGAACCTTTCTGTTTCACAAAAGGTTCTTTGTGGCAATAGAAAGTTCTTCAGATTATAAAAAGGTAAGAAAGAGATGGTTCTTTAAAGAACCTTTGACTGAATGGTACTTTGTGGAACCAAAAATGGTTCTTCTATGGCATCGCTGTGAAGAACCTTTTAAGCACCTTTACTTTTAAGAGTGTATGTTTATGTACCATGTGTAAATATGCAAACTTGTAAACTAGCTTTGTAATTGCTGAAATGTTAAAATGCTCTTGTATCATTTATTATGCAGTATGTAGAATTACTGTTGTTTTTACATGTTAAACTAAAATTATTTTTTTTTAAATTAAATTAAATTACAAATCCATAAGAGTAGGGCATAATATACTGTGTTAATTTAAAGGAATATTCTGTAGGCTATTTGTATATATTTGTATAATAAATATTACGCAGCGCCTGAAAATAGTCCCCAGCACACTCCCCGTGCAAGCAGATGGCCACGTTGGTTATGTTGACGGAAGTTAGCCTATTTTCAGGCGCTGCGTAATATCATTGTGCCTGCTGCACCCATGGTACGGCAGCAAAGTTCCTTGATTATTACGCCGGAATGAGAGTATAGTTCCTAGCCATATCGGCCTAGAAAATCGCAACTTTTCATTTTCCGTCGGTCTTAGTACACGATGTAACTACAGAAGAGTCAAGTTTTAAATAGGAAAAATATAGAAATTCTTCATTTTTGAGCGAGATGCTAACGGTCTAATCAGATTCAATGATCTATCTAGCTCGCCTATGCCTAGAAACGGCCCTGACTGAGGGACTCATACACAAATATTACAAGAGGTGAAAACATTTACTGATGCTCAAGAAGGCAACACAATGCAGTAGGAGCCTGGGGATGTAAACTTTTGAACAGGATGATGATGTGTAAATTCTTCTCATTTTGATGATCATATTTTTTCATTTAGAACTGGACTTCAGAAGCTACATAAATACTTACGTTTCCCAGAAGACAAAATAAGTACAATTTACCCTGATCATCCATGAAAATATGGATCTCAAAATCATACACTCACTGTTGGAAAGGGTTAAAATATGCAGAAGATGCTGGAAAACCAAAGAATGTGCAGGAGCTAGAGGATTTTTCTGAAGAACAGCAGGCAGTTGAACTGCTCCGGACCAACAAGGGACTCGTGAACAACTATCACAAAATATGAAAACAGTCGTGGATTATCCAGGAAATGACACATAGTATTAAGATTCAAGGGTATGTAAACTTTTGAATGGGGTCATTTTTATAAATTCAGTTATTATTTTGTCTTGTGGAGTATATGTAAACATCTGTTACGTGAAATAGCTTATGCAGGACAGTACTAAATAAAGAATAACATGCAATTTTCTTTATCCCTCTTATTTTGTTTCAGTTATTAACATTTTGCACATTCTGCAAGGGGTATGTAAGCTTATGAGCACAACTGTGTGTATGCATATATATATAATATATGAGTAATAATAATATATGAGTACACCCCACATTTTTTGTAAATATTTTATTATATCTTTTCATGTGACAACACTGAAGAAATGACACTTTGCTACAATGTAAAGTAGTGAGTGTACAGCTTGTATAACAGTGTAAATTTGCTGTCCCCTCAAAATAACTCAACACACATCCATTAATGTCTAAACCGCTGGCCACAAAAGTGAGTACACCCTTAAGTGAAAATGTCCAAATTATATACAGTATATTCTCATTTGATGTTTTGTGACTCTTTTTTTGCGCTAACTGTGGTCAATATTTAAAGATCTTTCATCCGGATTATTTTTTAACTCTACAGTAGTTACTCTAAAAGGTTAAGTCTTGCAAGTTATAGAACTTTGAAGATTATAATGCACAAAACAGTTACACAATAGTGTTTGTTTATCAAAACACACAATAAATGTTTGTCTTTTCCAATAAGAGGATCTTTTTTTCCACAATGTTTTCGTATTCCAATGATTACATTTATGCAACAGCAATACAATATTTTCACATTAAATTATTACATTTTGGTTACATATCTTGTTCACATTGGATTTACTGCCACCTACCGTATGGATTCACTAGTAACATTATGACAGCATTTGCAGGTTTGGTAGTGTTTATGAAGGTAATTGAATGCCTAAAAGATTTGCATACGCAGGGTAAGAGTTGTGGAAGTGTACATAAGACTGTAAGCGTAAATTAAATTTGCATGCGCAAGAGAAGCTTTGTAAAGGTGTAAATCGCGTTTCAAGCGTAAGAAAAAATTATTTGCAGCATTTTACTGTTATTCGTACGTGTAATTAATGTATTGTGAAACTGCAGCTTCATGCTAACGCAAAATAAATATGATCTGCATTCTTCTGTATCCGATTGGTTCAATAAACATATGCCAAACAAGACGTATGGAATAAAGAGTCAAAAGGGAGACACTTGTTTAGTATTCAACAGAAAGTGGGGATTGAAAGAAAGGTATATGGAAACAGAAGAGAAGATACTGTTATAACCAGGATCCGTATAGGACACTCTAACCTTAATTATTCATTGCATATAATAGGAGAAAGTGAGTCAGATAGCTGCAGTTACTGTGGAATAACAGAAACAGTTGAACATGTGCTCTTACATTGTGAGGCATATAATAGACAAAGAAAGCAACTTGTTGAAAAATATGGAAGATATGGAAATCAATTTCAGTTATGAATATATTTCAGAATACACAGAAACATCTAAGGGTTTATGGTTTTCTTCTAAAATATCTGATAGATACAGATTTGATTAGAAGAATTTCGTTTTTGTTTTTTTTTTGTTTGTTAATATTAGTAGTATATAATATGTTCGTTCATCGAGGCCTCACACTCCATCCCAGTAGGTGGCGGAAATGCACCTTAAGCTGGTTTGCCAACCGCCATTAAACACAAAAGAAGAAGAAGAAGAACATATGCCAAATCATATGCCAAAACATTAATCTTCATTTAGTTCCGGATCGTTCTCGCTGCCAGAATGGTACTTTTAACATACACATACATTAAAAATAAAAATAAATAAATAAATAACAACTTGATTAAAACATGATACTTTATATAAAAGAAGCTAGGTTATCTCAGTTGAAAAGAAGACATTTGTTTTTGTGATTATTCAGAAATAAAAGTGAAGGTCACAAATGCATGTAGGGTCGTGTCAAAAAAAAGCATATTTGTAATTTTTTTAAACAATATATAATATAACGATTGTATTGCTATGTTACTCCCTAAAGTATTTTGCTTAATGTGGGCTACTTGAGTACATTTTTTCAATATCCGTTTCATTAACAAATTAATATTGTTTGATTGTTTTCTGCAACTTTTTTATAGATGTTTTTTTACTGATACAAATGCATAATAGCCTAAACTTTTGCTCTTTCTAACAGGTTCTCACTCATTGTGGGTTCTTGTAAATTACATTAAAGGAGAGACGCCATTTCCTGAATTTAGCGTCACATTTATGCTGGATGACCTCACAGTAGGACACTATAATTCAGAGGCTAAGAGATACATTCCTAGAGATAATACTACAAATGATGAGACTGTGAGATCATGATGAGACATGAGAAATGATGAGATGAGACTGTTTTGCACATCTTTTATTTAACAAGACATGATTTGCATCCCTTTTTTTGTGGGAAGACTAACATTTAAAAACTACTATTACACAGAAAGTATGTTCAGTTGGCATATTGTGACAGATATTAAATGAATACAGTATATCATGTTAGTTTCAACTTGTGTGTGTTTGTGAATTAAAGATGTTTAAGCTAACAGGTCCTCAACTTTATCAAGTGATTAGTCACTGTGAGCTATGGGACAATGATACGCCTGGATAAATGATCTCTAGGATTGCATTTAGCGGCTCCACTACAGATGAAATGCGTTTTTTTGACAACAAGTTTACATATTGGGGCCAAAATGAAATGGCAACACTATCTCTGGAGCTATTAAAATGGAGTCATGAGAGTATAAGCTACCCAACCTGCATAACAACTCTCAGGAATTACCTTAAATAGAGACAAACTTTAGTGAATAGGAAAGGTTGGTCTCCAGCATGTTTTCCCCTGTCTTTTAAATATAAATTTGAGCCATGGAAATGCATGCATCTTCATGCAACATTAAAAAAAGGAAAAAGAAAAAAAGGCATATTTCAATAACATATTGCTTTATCTACAGTGAAGCCGCGAGTCAGATTCATTCAGAAAGCAAACTCAGATTCTGGAGATCAGTGCTGCAGATAAACACAAATACACCTGCTCTACCACACACCTCAGTCTGGACAACAAACTGGACATCACTTTAGGTATTGAGGTGTGAAAAAAAAACTAACTGTTTCAACTGTGTTTCTAATTTGTTTGTGACCAATTTATCATGTTTGTTTCAGAGTTTGAATTTAAATCCATGATTCCCTCAATTTTGATAGTTTTGGCTCTGGTGTTGATGTTTGGAACTGGAGCAGTTATATATAAATGGAAACAAGGAGGTAGGATGCACAAATTAAAATGAGTCCAGTATGTGCTGAAAAAGATAAAAAAAATTTTTTATTTATAATACATATGCAATTAAAAAGTATGCTTTTCTTTTTAAATTCCTTTGATGTTATAGCTTCATCTAAAAGAGGTAGGATGCACATATTAAAATGAGTCCAGTATGTGCTGAAAAAGATAAAAACATTTTTTTATTTATAATACATATGCAATTAAAAAGTATGCTTTTCTTTTTAAATTCCTTTGATGTTATAGCTTCATCTAAAAGTGCTTATTTTGCTGCTTCTTGTGAGTATATCACTTTAAATTTTATTTTGTTTATCTTGTGAAATGTATTGTGTTTATCTGCTCACTAATTAAATAAATTGTGTTTTTAAGCATCTGAAGAGAGTTTGAAAACAACATCAAAACACAAAACACAACAGGAAGCTGTTGTGAAGGAAACATCTTAAAAAATAAATGAATGATCTACCAGAAAAGCTTAATTTTAAAAACAATGTGGTTGCCAAAGTATTGTATTGCAAACATGTATGTTAGTGAGTGTAAATATTTACATTCCCTACATTTTTCTGTTGTCTGACTTATTTTGTGTTTTTAGTTTTATATTTTAGAAGCTTTTTTGTATAAGATTTGCACTTAGCCTTTTATTACGTTGTAAAGCACTGTGAGAAGCTACTAAATTTTATATTTATTATTCTTTATTCTGTATATGTAGTTTTCAGTAACATGTCTATATCCCTGACAATTAGCATGACATATTGCAACCATTTTCAGAATGTTTCTCATGAAGAACAGGGAGTACAATTCTGCTATGTATATCAAATGCTTCTCAGTGTTCATGCTAATTATTGCCTGTGACCTGTGATCTTCCACTTATAATTAAAGGAATATGCATAAAATGCTTATGTTTTCCTTGGTTATTTCACTGTTGCTTGGATATCTACCTAAATTGTAGTGTGCAACGACATCTATAGTGGTCTGACTTTCTACAAGGACTGAAATTTGGCCCCAGTAATTTCTATTATACATTTAAAATAATCTTTACCGAGTACTAACAAACGACTGATTGGTCCATCCTGAGTACTGCTCAGAAAATTAAAGGCCATGTACGTTGTACTGCTGCATCTGTATGTGTAATTACCACTGATACACCTTAACAGCCATTAAAGTAACTGCTAGTAAAAATATTAAAACTGGAAAAGGTACCAGCAAAAATGTCTGAATGGTTTTAAGATATTTAGATAACAGATCCAACCAACCTCAATTAAAGAAAATTGCCTGTAAACAGTGCAGAAGCAAATACTATGTCAGCCTAGCATCTATAACTATAGGCCTATACTGAATAGAAATGGAGTATACTATACATAAACAATATAAATAAAGTCAAAACTAATAAGTTCTGAGGAATGGCTTGTTAAACTATTAAGGGTTGAAATTATGTAGGTCTGAGACTCTGAGACAGCCTACCTCAGTTTTTTACTGATAAGCTGCTGCTCAAGGAAATAACTCGCAGAGTTGCAGTCATGCGACAAGTTTCTCTTACAAGACTTGCAATATTTCAATTTACATGCAAGATGAGAGCAAGATGATCAAGTTATTTTTTTTTCTGTGGGTGTTTTCATTTCCAACATCTGCTTCAACAGGTGGGACAAGGATTTAGGGTTTGATGAAAAGCGAAGTAGATTTTAATTCATAGACATAATGTAATTTTGTCTCAAGCATTGTTAGCAATCATTGATTTGTTTTGGTTAAGGAAATTTAGTTTTATTACATTATATAGCCTATTTTAATGACAATATAATTTTTCACAGGTTCTCAGTCGGCATGGGTGCTTATAACGTACATTAAAGGAAACACTAAATTTCCTGAATTTAGTGTCACAGTGATGTTGGATGACATTACAGTTGGATACTACGATTCAGAGACAAGCACATACATTACAAGAGGAAATACTACAAATGAAGATGATATGTATAACCTGGGGGATAATACCGCCATAAGAGAACATTTGTATGACCATCTTGTGGATAAATTAAGACGCGAAAATCATACAGATAGTAAGTTAATTTAATTTATTTCATAGTCTGAACAAAGGAGTCTGTTCTGACATCTTTGTTCTCTATTTCTGTCCTAACAGGTCTTGTAGTTTATCAGATATTGGGTCTTTGTGAACTGTTGGACAAGGACAAGTCAGGACAATTTATCATTAAGAATGCATTTAGTGGTTCTACTACAGACGAACTACAATATTTTGATGGCAAGTTTACATATAATGGTCCTTTAAAATATACAGACCAGGAATCAGACCCGGTTCTGCAGCTGTTGATGTGGTATCATGAGGTTTTTTCCTACCCAAACTGCCTAAATACTCTCAGGTCTTACCTTAAAAAGAGAGGAGCTCAGGTAAAGAGGAAAGGTAAGTCTCCAACATACTTCTCTTATTTAATTTAATATAAAAATTAGAACAGGTGCAGTCTTGTCTAGGGTACTATAATAATACTACATTTCTCTTGTCTTGGACAGTAAAACCGCGAGTGAGACTCATCAAGAAAGCTTTCTCAGATTCTGGAGGGTTTCGTGTGAGTTGTTTGGCAACAGGATTTTACCCTCGTCACATCAACCTGACCCTGTTCAGAGACAAGCAGCCTGTAGCTGATCATGAGATCACTGGAGGAGATCTGCTGCCCAATGCTGACGGGACGTACCAGATGAGGAAGAGTCTGGAGATCAGAGCTGCAGATAAACACAGATACACCTGCTCTGCCACACACCTCAGTCTGGACAACAAACTGGACATTGATTTGGGTATGGTCATTAGATTATTTATTTAGTTTCAATGCTTAAACCTGATTGACTTCATTCTTCTTTTTGCTACGTTTGGAACCATTTCATTCAACAGACAAAAGTAACTGGTAAAAAATGTATGTTAATTAACTTCATACTTCAGAGTGTCAAGGGGAAACATTTAAGCAGGTGATTTCCTCAGTGCTTGTGGTTTTGGCATTGGGACTGGTGTTGATGACTGTGATTGGCGTTTTTAAATGGAGGAGAAGGCGTCACTCAGGTAATACATGACATGTCCTAGACAAAACATATTAGATTCATTCAGACTATAGAGATCTATCAATAAAAAAATGCTGTCCATTTTATGTATAACTATTTTCCTGTTTTGTTGTAGCTTCCTCCACAAGTGACTACTCTTCTGCTTCTAGTGAGTATTTTCTGTTTGTGTTTGTGTAATGTTTTGTGGTTCTGTAAATGTTTTAGCTTTCTCACACCTATTATTATTGGTACTTGCATTAGAGCATAATATGACTCATTAATTTGCATGAAGAATAACAACAATATTGATTTGTCTGAATATTTTTTAACCAATATTCTTTCTAATTTCATTTTCAGCAACTGAAGACAATGTGGATAAAACATAATTAAATTAATGGGCAAGTAAATATGTAGCCTATAGATGCATATAATATTAGAAAGTACTGATAACAATATGCATAAATAGAATATAATAGCAGTGGCACATGCATATTCCTTTCATGGTCATTATATTTCCATTTGTAGTTTGTGTGTACTAATAGCCTTGTTAAGATCAACTGGCTGGTGCTTTTTCTTTACATGGATTGTCATTAACAAGCTCATATGAGTCAGATTGTGTAATCTATCAGAAAGTTTAATTTAATTTATTTCATAGTCTGAACAAAGGAGTCTGTTCTGACATCTTTGTTCTCTATTTCTGTCCTAACAGGTCTTGTAGTTTATCAGATATTGGGTCTTTGTGAACTGTTGGACAAGGACAAGTCAGGACAATTTATCATTAAGAATGCATTTAGTGGTTCTACTACAGACGAACTACAATATTTTGATGGCAAGTTTACATATAATGGTCCTTTAAAATATACAGACCAGGAATCAGACCCGGTTCTGCAGCTGTTGATGTGGTATCATGAGGTTTTTTCCTACCCAAACTGCCTAAATACTCTCAGGTCTTACCTTAAAAAGAGAGGAGCTCAGGTAAAGAGGAAAGGTAAGTCTCCAACATACTTGCCTTATTTAATTTAATATAAAAATTAGAACAGGTGCAGTCTTGTCTAGTGTCACGGTCAAGGTGTGTGGAGGCAGGCAGGATGACGAGGACGACCAGAATTCAAATAAGGACATTTAATGGAGCGACAACAAGGCAGACGAGACATACACACTCAGGGTAACATTCACAATAACCGACCATACTAGACAACAAGAGACAGGAACTTATAGGGCAGATAACGAGGGGCAGACAGGTGAGCACACTGAGGATAATTAACTGATAATGAGGACAGGAACAACCAAATAAGGACACAGAGGGAGAAACCACTACAAACAGACCACAGGGGTGTTACATTACTCCCCCCTCCCGGAAGGTGCGTCCTCGCACCGTAGAAACAGAGGGAGGGGCGGAGGGGGACTAGGAGGAGGACAAAGCAGAGGATGCGAGATGGAGACAGGGGAAGGCAAAGGGCTGGCAGGCAGA